GTGAAAGTTTTTTTTTTAGCAAACCATAGTGAGTTTTAAAGCTTTACGTTGTTAACGTTACATGTTACATGTTTTGTGGCCTGTGTATTTATTTATTTGCCAACGAATTAAAACCTATATAAAACAGTTTGATTAGAAGGACAGTTTGAATTGGTTGCAAGTACTATAGTTCTTTTCTTAAATGTAAACGTTGGTTTATGGTACTGATACTTTTCCTTAGAACCGGTGGTAGCAGTAAGAATCATTTTTATGTAGAAACACATCAATATTTACAACTATAGTTATCGTTAGTGCTGCACCTTATTTCTTATTAAATTTAATTGATGTCCTACTGTATAATTTTTCCGTTTTCTGTCTGGACTCCAAAATGTTAGTTTATGCTATGAAATGATAAAACATTATTGAAAGATTTTTTAGCAAACCATCATGAATTGTTAAAGCTTGGCGTTGTTAACGAATAAATTTTTTGTGGACTGTGTATTTATTTACTTATTTATATATTTACCAACGGATTTACACAAATTTTACAGTTTGATTAGGCCTAAAAACGATTATCATAATATTTGATGACACTATCAAAACTTTCAAATAATTATTTTGTTTGTAATTTGCTTTGGTTAAAGCGTAGCAAATCCCCTAACTGCTATTGTGTGTGTATGTCTGTTGGTAACGCATTAATGTCCTTATTTCTCAGTGTTTCTTGGAAAAGACAAGAGCACCTTTGTTATTGAAAATTTCAACCCGAATAAAGTGTGCAGTAGTGAGGTTGAGGTAGTTTTTTTAACTTCTTTTAACCAGTGTGAAAAGTAACTTTCAATTACAGGTCTACCTTAGGGCTATAGATCTATAAAGCAATTCCTTTTAGATATAAAATATGGACTAACACGATCGGGTGACATTTAATTGCGAAGCATTCGTTTTGGCTTTGAAACTGTCAGATATTGTATTTGCGAAGGATTATATGTATTCCTATACAGTAATAGTTTTGCTAGCATATCTGGAAAAATGCACACTATATATGCAAACCAACTCCTGTTCTGAATATAAGGTTTCAACTTACTACAAGATTCCCGTACGTAGAACGAGCAAAACAGCTAGTACAAAGTAAAATTAAAATAATAGATGTTCTAATTTATTTTTTCAACAGTCTATAAAATCTTTAGTTTGTTTTAGTGCAATATAATTTGTTATAACTAACAGCTGGTTGAATATACAAATATTCTAAGAACTATGAGGTTAGTTTATGAACGAGTTAGTTTATGAGTTTTGCATAACTCGAAATATACGTCAATAAAAATGAATGCCGATTCTTGATTGCAAATCTGTAGTGCGTCCATACCTTTAGTTTGAGGCCAAAATTATGAAAATCGGCCGAGTAGAAGAGCTAACCCGACTCGGAAAAGAAAACCCAAATAAATATTATTATAGATGGCCATAGGTGGTTTATCAGTATGCATAATCTAATCATACGAAACCTTTTGTGTTAATAATTAAACGGCTTATTGTTATTTGATTGATTTGTCTTTAATTAATAAATGTAATAATGTTGTCGTTAACAATTTGCATTTGTGTTTAAAGTGAATTATTATTCTAATGTTATGTGCTTAATCTGTACCATTAATATTAGTGAGTAAAGTGGTGTATGGATTTCAAAACCATTAATAATCGTGGAATAGATATGACAATTGAATAATTATTTTCTCGTAGCCAAGCAAGTGAACGGTAATTTGTACAATTACTACTTTACAGAAAACGGTCTCATTAGTCAGCCCGCAATACAGCAGTGCTTTGGTAAAGTATCCTACATTTTGCAGGCGTAGTTACGAGTGAAGTAGTCTCCAGTTGTCCGCCGCACCGTTTGGTTAGGTCGGCCAAACCAAACTGTGCGACTCAGAGGCAAGTGGGAGGGATTGTTGGTCTCATGCTCCGCCGGCCGCAGACCTTGCGGAAACTAGCGCGGGGGAGATTGACCGCGGTGGACCTAGGTATGACTCCAGCTGACGCACAAAGGAAGAGTAGAGTCTTTAATACGAGAGCATTTGTCATACCACGAGTCGACCTAGTGATGAAACCCAGCATCCTATAACCTATAAGCTCTTCGGCATATGTCGTTATGCATATGATGTTCATTAAATGAAATGTCAGAAGAAAATGTGACACCCAGATCCTTCATATTGTATACACTCTTCCCAGGGGCTGGTTATTCAGTGTATACTGGAAATGGTGCAGGTTGTGCATACGGCCAAAAGTCACAACGGATCACTTGGAAAGATTTAGCTTCATTTTATTAACAATGCACCAATCCAATAATTAATTGCTGAGACTTGTCTGCAGGCGTGCAAAGTCATCATCACTTGGAGACCACGGTCTTCACATCGTCAGCAAAGAGTAGAGCATCCACGAGAAGAACAGACGTTATGTCGTTGATGAACAAGGTGTGGCCCGAGTAGCGACCCTTGAAGAACACGGGAGGTTTGCAGAAATTCATGGGAAAGCGCACCAGGCTATTTACTCTCAGGGGCCGGCAATACATCAGATATAGTCAGAGAACCAGAAAGGCAATTGGCCATGGATTCCATAAGCTTCTAGCTTGCTGATGAGGATGGAGTGGTCAACTTTGTCAAATGCCTTGCCAAAATCGATTTTTAGGCAACATCAAGCTGTTTTTGATCCCATAGCAGATACTGTAACTGTAATATATGCTTTCCTCAAATATCAGCAGGTTGGTCTGGAGGAGGTAAAACCATGTTGACTGAGACTTATTGGCGGTTTTAGAAAGGGTGTAAGGCGAGAGAGCCCTAACATTTCAAAAACCTTCCCCATTGATGCAAGGATGGTAATAGTTCTCAACTTTCAATGGGTCGCCTCCTTTAAGAATCAGAACAATGTGCACCGTCTTGAGAGTCTCAGGAAATGTTCCTTGTTGAATGGGGACAAGTTGAATAACATAGTCAAAGGTTGGACCAAAGTGTCGCTGCAGTGTTAAAGGAAGGACGGAGGTACATTGTCTGGGCCAGCACCTTTCATGACATCAAGTTTTCCAAAGGCTTCTAAGACTTGCAATACAGAGAAGGAGATGATCTGTAGTGTAGAGTTGGCATTTAAGTTAATATAAAAGGAGGTGGTGAAACTACGGGCTTCGAGAAAAACCGATGAAAACAAAGCTGAGAACATTTCAGCTCTCTCCTGTGGTTCATTGGAAGAGTTGCCATTAAAACTAATAATAGATGGTATAACAGGAGATCCACCAGAAGAGCGAATAAAGCTCCAGAAGCTATTTTACTGCTGAGAGGAATTGAATCTTCTATGTGAAATAGTGCAAAAATAGTTTCTATGACATGTGCGACTCAGCTTCCTGCAGACATTACACAACTCGCGAAACCTTGAATAGTGCAATGGAAGGAATGTTTGCTTGTAGCGCTTGCGGGCTATTTTCTTTTGAATAACCAGATTGATGAGCTCTGCAGAGAACCACTTGGGGAAGGATGAGGTTCCGATTCGTTTTATGGGACTGCACTGAACGCAAATGGCTCCAAGTTGTCTTACTACACTTAAGTTTATTGCATTATATTTACATGAATTTATTAATTACTCATTAGATTGGAATCAAGCTACAAATTATACAAATCGGATGCCATAATAGCCATTAAAATTCAACTCAGTTTCCTTTTTTACTCATTTTTTGCCTATATATCCAGTATTTAATTACTGGGTAATCTTCCGCAAATGCCAAGATTCAACATCTAAAAGTTATGTCAAAACAGGCGTCAACAAGATTCAGATTTTGCAATAGAATAATACATCTACCGGTACTTCAATACTATTGATTACTATTGATACTATACTACTACTACTTCAATCTACTCCAAATATCAATGTCAATAATGATACTTTAATCAAATTGACTGATCCGTAGTGATTATCACCAGTACTGTACCATATAGACGAAACATGCTCCTTAGTATTATTTATCATCCTTATCAATCAGCTGAAGACAATTTTATTGTTAGTTGGCGATCAGTGTCACCAACATCATTTTGTTATGTAAACCAATTTGACCCCTTCTGCAGGGTTAACCAATAAATTTAAACTAGGTAAGTACATGGCATAGACCATAGACTAACACAAGTAGACTTATCTTCCCATTGTAAATGTTGAAGCTAAGTCTACTTGTGTTAGTCTATGGTCTATCTATGCCAGTACTTAGTTTAAATACTGTTCGATGAAATGCCGACCATACATAGTAGGTATTTTAAGCCAAGTATGAATGGAGTTGAGTGTATGAGTGGCGCAATCTTGTAGTCTTGTTAGTGACTGAGGCCGACATTCCTTAGACACAGCTGTTAATTAATAGCCCATACAGCTAATGCAACTAAGGGACCTACAGTTTATAGTGGAATCCGAACCACAATTTTTTCTTGGTATATACAAATTGGTCTAATTATCAGGATAGTACTGCGGATAGTCGTAGTACTCACTCGTGCGGACGTTAATCCACACCAGAGAGTATCACATCCACAGTGCATACCTATAAATATCCACAATTCGTGACCTCCTAGTAGCTGGATCACAGGACGACGCCACCCGTAAGTTTATTGGTTAACCCTGCAGAAGGGGTCAAATTGGCTTACATAACATTAATTTTTCCCACAGCAAACTATTTAAAATTTTTGTATACAATATACAATTGAGTTGGTATCAATAAATAACAAACTCCCAGTAGTGTCTAAAACAGTTCACTTTAGTAGTTATTTTCTACACTTAGTTTTCTACATTAGTTAATTTGCTTGTACTCTGGTGTTATATCTAAATAGTAGATTGAAAACTGTAAATTTTACCCTGAAATAAGAGAAAATATTCAGTTTACTGAAATATTAAAATTACACTGAATTGTACTAATTTTAAATAGCAGGAGTGACCCCACACTGCATTGGACCCGCCTACTGACTCACCAAGTCACCATTTGGGTTTTCTATTATAAAAAAATCAAACTCTTTTTTTAGTTTTGTATAAAATATATTTTTATTTACATAATGTAGGTAAACAAAATATAATCAAATAAATAAGTATCTTAATAGAGGAAACATACATATTTTGGCAAACAACTGTCACCCATACAACATCGAAGGGGGAATGAACACTTCAAACTCTTGCAAGAAGAAATATTATGAACTAACAGTCATTCATTACAATAGATATGTGGTACACAAACAATGATGTGTGAAATGCAAATAATGAAATTCAAATATGATAGTAGAAGATTTAATTCTTCATATTAACATACAAACTAGTCTCTCAAACCCAAGTATTTGTGGTTCTAAATTTTTTTTGACATTTCTCCTTATTTTAGGTTTAAATATTTTAAATATTTTGTTTTCATATTGAAAGCAGGATGGTCAAATTTAAACCTTTGAAATTAGAATTGAAGGATGTATCATATTTTGTGTGAGTGGCAAGTTTCTGGAATCCTTAACACAAAGGGATTTTAGTTTCATCAATTTTTTATTTTATTTTACAGACGTTTATAAATTATTTGTACAGTTAAAAACTGGTGTACTCTTCAGTTTGTATATACAAACAAATAGTTTTTACAGCCTAAAACTAATTGGTACATCTTGCTTTCTATATAAAAACTAACTTCTTGAAATCGCAATTGTCATAATAATTGACCACATTGCGTGTCTCACCAAGATTGACAGACTCTCAAAACAAATATTATAAAAAACAATTGTTCTAAATAGGTTGATCTTGATAGAAGGTTAATAATCGTTATTCAAATAAAGATTTGTTTCCTTAAAGTGGAAATCCATCTATTATTTAGTAGTTCTTCCAATTATAAGCACACATCTAATAAATAAATTTATAACTACCAACTTTTACAGTACACAAAACCAGCCTGTGAAAGTTTTAAGTTTGAGTTAAAACTATATACATATTAGAAACTAACACCAACTTTGTAAATAAATTAAACTGAAATCAAATCAATTCATTTAGTTTAATCATATAACAACCTAAAATGTATACAATCAAAGGATAGTTGCATACACAGATTTAAAACCGAAATAATTTAAGAGTATTTTAACTTTTAAGTGGCAACTCAGTTTTAAAATACTATTATTATGTTATGAACTATCTGTACTGAAATAAATATCAAACAGTATTCAATTGCATCAAAGTAATAAAACATTATGGTATGAATTTGTATAAAAAGAAAATTTAAATTTGATATCACTTTCCATAATTTGCTGGAGCAAAAGTGAAAGAAAAACTATCAGGATAATATAGCGGTCCTGCCAGTTTATTATGTAAGAAATTTCAGCTGAAAGTAAAAAGAAATTCAAGTCAGCTGATTAGAAAAACTTAACTACTTTTTGCAGATGATAAAATTATGAACAAAAAGAAGCCTAGAGTCGAGACCACGTAAGTTTGCAGTTGAGAGAGCAGTTGTAGTGTCTATTTACCATATGGTTTTGAATGAACCAATGAGAACCGAATGAGGTGTTGCCAAATCTAATAATACCAGCTGATTTGAAAATATTACTTAGTGTATATAAACTTACCATTACTTACTACTTAGTGTTACCAGTGTTACTTAGTGTTACCAGTGTTACTTTACTTAGTGTGAAAATATTATTAGTGTTGTCAACGGGCGATGTGGCAACATCGCACTAGCCTTGTCTTGTGATTGGCTGCCGCCAACTGCAAACTTACGTGGTCCCGACTGTAGTTATTTTACAGTACAAGAGTAATCGTAAACACATTAAAAAACTTTTAATGAGCTTCCCTTTAAGTTTTATTAACAAAATATCAAATCGAAATAGTATATAATACACTTTTTTAGACTATCCCAAACAATAAAACAATATATACAATTTTGGTCTTTTAAACAAGCCTGTCACACTTTTAAGGAGCGAGAAAACTTAACTAAATACGACCTGCAAAAAAGTGTGTCATACAATATTTAAAAATAATTACACCACTACAAAAAACTATCTACAAAAAAAGTTTAAAATTATTTTAGTTACAAATAACGATAAATTATGTCAACCATGTAATGAAACAAAATTCAACAAGGAACATTCAACAATCGAGTTTACAGAGGGCATTACTTCACCAAATTCCAGCCGATAATTAACTGAGTTCAGTCTGTGGATTTAGATTTTAATCTTTGAAGTTTTGAACACAAAAAAATATTTAAATTGAAAATAAAAACTTAACTAATAGTCCATTTTTGAATTTTTAGTTTATTTATTATTGTTATGATAAAGTTAAGTTTGATCAATATCTGGATCGTACAAATTGAATAGCACTGATTCAATCGACAAATTCGCTACACTTGTAATAGAAAACCTAGAAATGATCAGTTGATTCCAATAATCATCTGATGAACCATTGATAGTTCCACCAATTAAAATTAACGGTAAAGGGCCTACTTAATTTGAAGTTTGAAACACTCGAGTTTACACTCTTCTTGCAAACAAATGAAAAAAAAGGTTTTGAATGGAATTTTGTATCCCTATAAACACACCAACCAAAATACTAAATTTCCTACAGTTTACCTGCTCAAAAATACCATAGAGTTTAAACTGATTACCATGAAGGGCTTTCAGGTTTCAGCAAATGAGTTAAGGAATGTACATATAGTTGAGTTCAAACTATATGCACAGTACCAATATTTTCGAGTCACAAGCCAATCAAATACATAAATCTTTTCTAAAACCATATAAACAAACTTTAAAAAAATCTTTCAGGTTTCCTATGAATCAAATCTAACAAAGTTAAAGTCAAATCAAACTTTCACACTGAAACGATTGTAGATTGACACAGGAAACTAACATATGTTAATTCTTTTCTACTTCAGGTTGCTAGGTGAGAATCTGGTAGCTGGACGATGTTGCGGGGAAGACTCCAGTGTGTTTGCCAAACACAAGGTAGATAAGTCACATAAAAAACTCCTCTGTAGACTCGGAGAGACTGAGTCATGTTCGAGCGACCATCGGCTGATCCAGAATTGATATCTCTATCTGAACAATGGTGTTAAGGATAGTTAAAATATATATATATTGGAACATACTGATTCTGTAGGGAAGTTAAGAGTTTTACTTATTTGAAGCTGAACTCCTCAGCCTTTCATCATTTGGATTTAATAAATTATGGCTAATTGAAAAAGGCTAATCTTATTCAGTAACACAAAAAATTTCACCCCATTCTACTCTATTATTGACTATCATAGACATTCTATCCCCATGTTAAATTTGTAGCCAGCTTTTCTGTAAATTAAATCTACAATTGTGAATGGTGCTTCGAAATATTCAATTGCTTGAAGAATTGTGAAGTATAAAGTTTGATTAAATTTGTTATTTAAAATTGCATTATCAAATTCGTCGTAGTTGATGTGAGCCACCTACAGATTGCACTGATCTTAATTACTAAATTCTGCCGAATACACAATCTTTTTAACCAAGTCAAACTTAGGGAATGACTATGATGAGTTAGTTATAGCAACTGTTATGACCCATCAGCCTGTTCAGCAACAAAAAATAAGCTATAAAATAGAATTGTAGACACTAGCACATTCTATGACTAGCTCACACAACTACATTCTTTTTTTAACGACAAATTGGCTACAGCTGATTCATATCAATGGGAAGTCTACTTCAGTCAATGCTCATACACAACACAGCTTTTATGAGTAAAATATTCACTGAAAAATGGTAACATGGTACCCTCAGCATATAAAATAAGAAGTAAAAAGGCTACATTGTTCTGTAGCTTTAATGAAGTAAAAATAACGATAATGTATACGGTGTGTAAAATAATGTATACACAAAAAACATGGTATGTTCATTCATATAATGTAATACTGTATTAGATTACCTTTTTAGTTGTTGTGTATGTTCTGGTTCTTAAACAGTACAAGAAATCAAACTGAGGGAAGAAATACCTCCCGCCGTGACTCCATCGCGTTGTTCGCTCAACCCAACTGCTAGACCCAGTGACTTGTGTAAAAAATCTTTGAAATTTAGAAACTATAGTATTAGTCGTAAAAAGATAGCTTAAGAAGACCCCTGAATATGCCACACAATCTGTCAAAATGCATAGGGTTACACAAAAACATATTACTCAAGCACATAGGCAAATACAAAAAATCTAGTAGAATTTTAGTTTTTGATATTCGTTGAACCTAAAATATGGCAGCAAACGTGTAAATCATAAAATTTTTAGCTGCCGAGTTTTATTCCGGACAGGTTTCTAAAAAGACTGGTGTTTGGAAAATTAAACGTAAGTATTGATAATCTGTTAAAAGGATACAACTCGCAACCCTCGCTCCACCGGACTTGTCAGTAGAAGTCCTCTTGGCATGTACACTCTCTCATTTTGTTCCATCACAAACTTGGCTACTTTCCGTAAACACTGAAACAATTCAACAATACTAAACATAAAAAATAACAGAGTCAGAAACACAAATGCAAGTGATTTAAAACTAACTTACATAAACTTTATTATTATTTTACTTGTAACAAAGCTTCACTAATAAACCGTGGCCAGCTGTGTTGAAATTTGATGGGATGAGTGGACTTTTTGAGAGTTGCTCACCCAATCATGCATTTTTGTACTTTGTAAGTGACAGATTTGAGGTAAGATGTGAAAAATATGATCAAAATAGAGTCCCTAAAACCAGTAAGTAATTCCTGGGTTAATAAATTAGGATGTTTGATTTGATTTGATTCGTCTTTGGGTTCCCAAAATTTTTGAGTTGGGCCAGGCCAACAACTGGCTCTTCAAGAGATTAATTCTGGCCAAATATGATTGGTATTCATTCAGAAGGGTTGTTAACAAATATATGCAGGCCAAACTCAGATTGGATAATTTATATATTCGTGGTATGTGATAAAAAATAGAGCCGAGATGTGCTTTTATTCTTGCAATATTAACAATTTCACTGTGACCACAAAATTTTCAACATAAGCGCAAAAGATGTATACAATTTTGCTGGAGGCATTCACAATTTTTATTGCAACCACAGGAGATATTCATGATTTTGCAGTAACCACAAAAGATATTCTTGAATTCACCTTGATTGCAGGAGAGGATATACAATAGCTTATTCTAGAAACCGATTGTTGTAACAGATTATTAGTTTTTAAAAATCACAATTTTCCAAAGCGATACAATTCCCAAGACCCAAAAAACATTTTTGACCCCAACCGAAGCAAAATAGTCTTGTGTGCACTGTGCAGACCCCCTACTTAAAGGCTCTAACATTCTTAGGCCTAATCTCGTTCAAAACTGATACTGATCAAACCAAGAATTTTTAAAGGTTATACAAAAGTAAAACTGGAAATTACCTTCTCATAGTGTGTTTCGGAACATATGTAGACTAGGTAGGCTGTGAGGCAGGCTAGGCAGCCTTCACAGTAAGTGCTGCAAGAACCCTTCTCAGCCTCAGCGAAGTAGGTGTTCAGCTGTGAGACTGTGTACTCAAACGCTGCTCGGTCCAGCTGTAGAGTGAAGAGGAATTGATTACATTTCTCATTATGTAATACATCAGGTATGAAAATTTTAATATGTTAACCGTTTTTAAACTACTCTTGTTTTTAAGATGTTAAAGTAGGCTACTGCAATTTGTGTGAATGCTACAATTTGATTTACCGGTTATCAACTGTTTTTGGGAGGTAACCAGAGTTTCTGACGTGCTACAGCAATTTATCTTCAGGGCAAACTAAAATTCTACTAAACTAAAATTCATCCAAAAGATCAGCCAGTATTTTTCTCATATCAACGATGCAGTCACGTCCTTTTGGTGTTCTTCTTTGACCATGTACGCTGGTAAACATACCTTCCAGTTTATTCAATTTATTATTTTAGGCTAGACCTAGGGGTTGTGGCATTATGACTTGGATAAAATCCATTGGTTATTTGTCAAGATTACCCTGGAGCTCTAACCACCATGTCAAGGCAATTACATCTAAAAGCCATTGGGTATTAGCAAATAAGAATACAGGCTTCAGGATGGAAAACGCTTTAGCTATAAAACCAGTCACTAAACATTTATATACAGTAATTAAGAATGGTGAGAGTTTATGTTATCTAAGGAATATTGAAGACATTTTTCATAACAAAAGATAGGCCTAAAAATTTGTTTTTGCTACATTTGGATCGTGAAAACCTACTAATAATATAATTTTCTAACACAATCCCCTTGAAACAAGGTTAAATCCAAGATTCCAATTTTTTCACCAAAAAATATTTAACGAAACAAGAGCTATAACTTCTCAAAATAGGCCTAACATTTTACAGTAAGTTAAAGGGATTTTTTAACCCTCCGAGTATCAATCGTCGGAATTCCAAGGATGTTGCAGACGCTACAAAATTCGTTCTGAATTAACTCCAGTTGTACTGAACTGGATTGAATTTGGGGTCTACAGAAAGAGCAGATTCTAAGCTTGAATTCAATGTCTAGTTTCAGATTTTTTTACTCTTTGTTATGAAGCGAACATCTGCTCAAAGTTTGTTTTCATCACCTTTGCTGTCTGCTCTTAGGTTTCTGATGAGGTTTTAGAAACTAATGATTTTAAGATTAAAATGATTCCAAATTGCGCTCATTTCTATTAGTAGGTATTATTTTGAGATAAATAGTATATTTTATCGAGTTTTTTAATGTCAAATATGAGGGGTAAGTTATATGTCCGTCAGTCAATTTTACAGGTGTCCTTATGGGGGTTAGGGTAAGAACACATGAGGTCATGTTTTGGTTTTCTCATCATAAATATATTTTATTCATATTACCTTTCTTGTTCCTTATTCAATTTTTAACTAATTTTTTATCTTGAATTTTTTCATTATTAGTGCTTAAATATACTTAACGGGTCTCTTAACCTTAAAAATAAGTTTGATTTGATATTGTTTGTATTTGAATATATAGCTACACCTACTGAACCTAACAGAAAGGTAGAAATTTTTATGTTTTATGATAGCCCATTTTACCTACTTTCATTAAATATATAGTTTTATAGATGTAGGTAATTTTATATTGAGCGTTTTTTGTAAACGCCTGCAAAACTGCCAAAAATGGCTTGACATTTTTCAGATTTTTTTGAAGGGTTAACTTATTTTTGGGCACTTTTGTCAACACTCCCAACAGCAAATGTTATTGGATGGTTAAAACTCTTGATCATGTCTAGTAGACCTACTTAGTTCCAAAAATCACTATAAATTGATTAATGCTATCGATAATGCTACGGTATTTAATTTACATACATTTCCTTCACGTGACGCTTATGCAATAACAGTTATGTTTCCTTATCAATTATCACACAGGCCAGGTGAGCAAACATAACCTTACAGTAACAGAAAACCTTTGTCAAGGTGATATTTAGTCATATATCTCAATGGAAGTAAATGCAAGGGAACACTGAAACTATATGAAACCATCTTACATTTTGTTGTAGGCCTACAAATTATAAATTGCTTGCTTGCCGTAGAAATAAAAAATAAATAAATATATTGACTTTTTAACTATTCTGTATATTACTCAGAATAAATATTAATTCAATTGATAGCCTACTAGAAGTTTTGCGATACATACATAAAGTAAAAGATTACCTCTTTGAAGCTACAGTAAACAATCTTTTATCATTGATACTACTGATAATAGAAAGTAATGTAGGTCAATGTTTTCATTCAATGTTTTTAACCATGGATATAACAAACAAACAATTTACAATATAAAATTTTTAATCAGCTGTATGGTCTGGTCAAAAACATGTTCAGCTGTCATAAAAATATAAGAAATTATATCTTTAAAAGGATCTTGAAACAATGGTATTTTTTTAAACCGCTTTTATGGAAACCAAACGGTAAAATAAGTCGTTTAGGTACAAGCACAATATGGTAACTGAGAAAATAACTTTCCATCATTCACTGTTGATTCTATTATAAATTACCGCACATTATGCCCATGAAATATTTTTGTGCAACTAGGCTAATTGCATGGTATTCTGAATTTTAATAGTGAAACTTTGTTCGCCTACATGAGACAGGAAAAGAAAGGAAACTAGACGGCGGAAACAGAGAAAAGAAACTGCAAGAGGAACAAATTCTTTTGGGAGTAAGTGCATGCAAGCAACCCAACAATTCCAGACTGAGTGTACATTGTATCTAATCAGAATGTGGTCGGTTTCCTTTTCTACCTAGTATGGCCCAAGTACCTCTATCTAAATGCCAGACGGTAAATACGTGGTGAAATAAAACGCTACAACAGGAAAATCTTGGTTGAATTTTATTTTAAGAACTAACCAGATTGCGCAAGTGGTGTGGCATGTCGTTCCACTATAGGCCTATATCATGTCCAGTATAGTATAACAGCTTCCATTTGATAACACAGAAAGCATTCACCATAAATTCCCTTCCTGTTTCTTTTCCCGGGTAGTGTAACCCAAACTTTTAATTCCCCTCCCCCTCCAAAAAAAAAAAAAAAACCAAAGAACCGGCAAGTTATTCACAATAAATCTATATGTATAAAATCCAATGTATGTTTGTTTGTATGTTTGTCCTTTATGGACTCCGAAACCGCTCGACAGATTGTAATGAAACTTTCAGGCATTATTAAGCATTATTCAAGGATGGTTTGTGTGAAGTTTGGTGCAGATCCGTCAAAAGGGCTCCGCCCCAATGGCTCTGGAGTTTCCCATGTTAATCTTATGAGTACTCATATTTAAATGGAATTAAAGAATCTTAACAGCTGGTTCAACTAAACTATCTGATTCTGTGATGTTCAATAGCATTAAAAAGTTAATAGGTTTACCAACAGGGTGCAGCACTATATTTTTTTTAATTTATGAGAACAGCTAATTTGCAACCAAAAGGTGAGTGAGCGTAGCGAACGAACTCCAACCTGGAGGCGAGTTAGCGTAGCGAACGAGCTAACCTGTAGGCAAGTGAGCGCAGCGAACGAGCTCCAACCTAAAGGTGAGTGAGCGTAGCGAACGAACTTCAACCAGGACGTGATTAAGCCATGCGAACGAGCTCATCTTGAAAATGTACAAGCATGAGAAATAAAACCACAATAGGACAGGACTACGTCTGTCGGGCCAGCTAGTCTATATATATAATTCTGTAAGACAAAATTTTTACCAGAAAATTGTGGACGGCTGGTAAGTCGCAGAAAAGTGGGAGGGGTCTTAAATTAAAGGTCTTGACCCCAGGGACTCGGGAAAAATAGCAGAATTCCCATAAAGTTACCGGAAAACGAGATATAACGTAAAATATCCACCATAAGAAATGCATGGGGACTGGAAAACGTCTGCATTCTATCAGCTGTTACTTATTTATTTGCAATGTTTACATATATTCCAAAAGTCCATGTTGGTAAATAATGTTTCAAAATGAATTAAGTTTAATTTTTTTCCGTTTTTATAATGAGTGAAGTAACTAGACAGGGTAGGGGAAGACCTGCAAGACGTGGAAGAGTGTCCAGGAATTCAACAGACTTAAAAAATGCAAAAGAGAACGACGTGCAGGGCCTAACTGTGAAAGAAATCCAGAAGCTGTTTTACAGCCTGTCTTTAGAAGAACGCTGGAAAATGAGTTGAGTGTTGTTTCTCACAATCTAGGTCCTCTTAAAGCACTTGCATGCATTGTAGCGCATTTCACTTCGCAGAGGAGGCCACAAATGGACATTTCAACGCATGTTGCCACAATGGACATGCCACAACCACAAGTAAAAGACGAACTAATAGAACTGTTTGTAAGAACTTTCTAAAAAAAACCCGAAAACCGAAACCCAAATTCCTGCTTCCATAGATAACCCTAGTGTATTAAACAATAGTATGCATCCTTTTTTGGAGAAAACTTGCAAGAATGTAGTACCGGTAGTAATTTAAATTGTTACAATTCAAGCAGCACTCAAAACTTTTCAATTCTTCACCAAAATGTCCAAAATTTATCAACTCGTATTGGAATATTAGAAGTAAACCTTGATGAAATTAAACCAGATGTTATTATATTGACAGAAATAAATATGCGTGAAACAGATTTATCATTTTTCAATATTAAAAACTACAAAATAGCATCTTCCTGGACTAGAACTACAACCACTGGAGGAGGGGTATTAATCCTCACAAATTCGTCACTTAATATTAAAGAGGTTGCACTAAAAGGAATACAAAATATAACATCAGAGAAGGAGTTTGAGTGCTGTTTGGTTGAAGTAATAGTTGAAAGCATGTCTTTTGTACTGATGGGTGTATATAGGACTCCAGAATATAAATACAATGATCCTTTTTTATCCAAACTAGAAACTACACTAGATATATTGACTAAGAAATATGAAAACATCATTATAGCAGGAGATGTAAACATAGATATTTTAAATCATAACTCATTGTATTATAGATTTTTGAGCATTTTGAGAATGTATAATATGTCATATAAAGTAAATTTTCCTACTAGGGTTACACTGAAAACTAGATCAGCAATAGACAATATTATCACTAATATAGATCATGTGCAATTAATTGTAACCGGAATCATTACTCATGTGTCTGATCACGATGCACAACTTCTTGAAATTGTGGATTTAAAAAGTAAGAATAAAAAGAAAACAAAGAAAAGGCACAGAAAATTTACAGAGAATAACTTAAAAACCTTTCTCAGTGATTTAGGCAATGAGACTTGGTATGATGTTTACCAGTCATCTGTAGATAAAAAGTATGATGCATTTTTTTCTATTTTTAGTTACATTTTTGATGTTAATTTTCCCAAAGTTTTAAGTGCAGATAGTGGATATAGTAAATGTAAATGGAATTCAAAGGAGTTATTTAAAAAAAAGAGTGAGATAAATGAACTGGAAAAGCTAGGTAGGATAAGACAAAATTTTGTCACATATCAAAAGATAAAGGTTAAGAAAAAGGAACTAAAAGAATCAATACACCAAGCCAAACAAACATTTTATAATGAGAAAATAAAACACTCTTCTAATAAAACTAAGGCAACGTGGAACATAATTAAAAGTGAAATAAAGCTTAACTCAAAAAATGATTTTACCAGCAACATACCGATATGTATAGAGCAAAATGGTAAACTCCTTAAGCATCCAGTAGCTGTCAGTAACAACTTAAATAATTTCTTTGTATCAGCTGTGGAAAAGCTTATATTGCCACACATTTCTCCTTCACTTACACAAAAAACAGATATCCAGAAAAATATTTTACCTACAGATAAGTCATTTAAGTTTCACACAATAACGGAAGAACACCTCACTAAAGTGGTCCTTTCCTTTGAAAACAAGTACTCTGCAGGTTTTGATGAAATTCCAATCACCATAGTTAAAAAATCAATACACATTATCCAGAAACCACTAACACATATCATAAACTCTTCTCTTATTTCAGGAATCTTTCCTTCAAAATTAAAATTGGCTAAAGTAATTCCCATTTTTAAAAAAGGTAATAAAACTGATCCCTCCTGTTACCGCCCTATCTCTCTCTTACCTGTTTTTTCAAAAATTTTTGAACGCATTGTTTACATTCAGGTCTATAAATATCTGGAAAATAATCAACTATTTGATAAAGAACAACATGGCTTTCGGCAGGGCAAATCAACAATAACAGCTGGTATTGAATTCATAGAAACTATAATAAATGCTGTTGACAGAGGAGAAAATGTTGTAGGAATCTTTTTGGATCTCAGTAGGGCATTTGACAGCGTGTCACATAGTATATTGTTGACTTCACTAAAAGAAATGGGAATCTATGGAAAAGAGCTTGCATGGTTTACATCATATCTAGAAAACAGAAACCAATTTGTTGAACTGGATTATGTTGTGGAGCATGCAAACACAAAGTACGTTGAAAAATGTAGATCTCAGCATCAGACGCTGAAATATGGGGTGCCGCAGGGATCGATCCTGGGGCCTCTACTTTTTCTCTGCTATATTAGAGGTATGCCGGGAGCGATTCCTGGTAACGGCGGGTCTATGTGTCTGTTTGCTGATGATTGTAATGTGCTTATTCCCGGAAGATCAAAACAACAGATTGAAACGTTTTCTCAGGAGAGTCTTTTATCCATAAAAGAATTCCTTGACCGAAAAAATCTGCTTATTAACACAGAAAAATCCAATTTTATATCATTTTCCACTAAACAACATAGACAAAATTTTGAACCAAACATTTGCATAAAATCAGAAAGAATAAACCAAGTAAAGCAAACAAAATTTCTTGGTCTAATTATCGATAAACATCTATCTTGGGAGGGCCATGTGAACTATGTGGTTAAAAAGGTATCTTCCGGTATCCATGCGCTGCGACAGATGTTCAGAGTATGCAGTTTAGACACTTTAAGAGTTGTTTATTTCTCATTAATACATTCACATATTTCATATGGAATTGTTCTATACGGGGCAACAACAAAAACTAATTTAGATAAAGTACTAATTAAACAGAAAAAAGCTATCAGGGTGATGAAAAATCTTAAAAAGAAAGAGCCAGTCAAGAGCATCTTTCGTGAATTACAAATATTAACAGTTTATAGTCTTTATATTTATGAAACAATAATTTATGCAAAACAGATCCAACTATCATCCAGCTCAACAGAACAATTAGTATATAACACCAGATTAAAAATTAACCTACCTCGGCATAATCTCGAATTTTACACTAAAAAGACATCTTACATAGGGCTAAAATTTCTCCAGTCTATACCAGCTCACATCCGAAAAGAAACAAAATTTAATAAATTCAAGAAGCTCTTAAAGGAATATTTTTTAAGAACTCCCTGCCACTCAGTAACAGAATTCTTTAGTATTAGTAAAAAACAGTTAGGCCTAACTTAATTTGAATGCCAAATACTGTTATCCTTAAAGTCATGGTTTTGTTAAAAGTTCAAGTAAAGTAATTTTTGTACTCTTTTTATGTATTTAATTAGCAGTAAGCAATTTTGAATTTAGCTTATGACTCTATTCAAGTTCATGTAATGTGAAACTATAATGAATAAAGAATGTTTTGATTGATTGATTGATTGATTGTACATGATTCGAACTTCATAAAAAACATAAGGCAATACAACAGTACAATGGCTTTTGCGTCGCTTTCCGCTACACAAAAAGAGATTCCGAGAAATGGGCCTTACTGTCTTAAAATTCAGGGACAAATTCATAGATATATTTATAACTTACTACCGCGAAATGGGGGGCCTTACTATTATTATGATGGGGGGGCCTTCATAATAATTAATATTAATTTTAACCTTTACATTTGGTTCTAAAAATGGAAACTATAACAGAGTTCGTAAGATTACAAAACAAATCTTCAATTTTAATCTGGAAAAGATGTGCAATGTTTGGCTGTATGATTTCAGCTCTGATTCGTCGTTCTCCGGGCTCAGGCCAAACCGTGTGCACGTTTCCATTTGTTAATATTTTGTGTTATTGATTTAATAATTATTTTACAATTGTACTTCATTGACACATCAAAAGCAACTAATATACGACTCCAAAAGAAGGAAAACCAAAATATAAAACAAGAAACACTGTTAATTTTAAGTAGGCCTAACATAAAATTTATAATTTTAAAAACATATTTAGAATATTTGTCTTTTTATATATGGTTTTTTTTTATTGTAGTTTAAATTAGGGGCTATGGCCCCTACAGGCCACTAGTTAGGCTAAATCTCCTATTCCATTACTTCTTGTTAAAATTGTGCCTAATCAGCATAGAGGTCGTTCTTTAAATGATAGAATAGAAACACACATACAGCGACTGGGAGCGGGGCGGAGCAGCGTGATTTAGAGCAACAAAATCAAACCTATACAATCAAGTAGTATCGTGCACACAAACTGCTGTGGTTGCGAGCGTTAGCGGAGCGGTTAAGTTTGGAACAATCTCGTTTGTTTTTCTAGCGTTTGGGAGCGAAGCGGGTAACGATCTTATGGACATTTTTAGTTCCACTTCGCCAGTAGGCCGCACTGTACTCCCATTCTACCGGAAACTGAACCTACCCAGAACGTTTTGGAACCTGCTCGAACCTTCTCTTTTTGAAAGGATGTATTCAAAGGTCGAGGTAGACATGTATTGCATGAATCAGGAACTGGAAACAAATGGTGATATTCACCATGTACCGGTAGCCGGTATCCTTCCTCCATTCACTCCGATCGGTTTGAAGCACGCAAAATTAATGTTTTTAGCCAAGTGTTTTGCTGTGCTGCAAATTGCGTGCGAACTTACCATGTGATATCTTGGAAATGATCTAGCTCCCGTTCGTGTCGCTCTCGCTAATCACTGCACGTGTGCAACATCAGTCGCTCTCAGCCCCTCCCCTACAGCTCGCTCTGGATCCCCCCGCCCGCTCTGCTCCCAATCGCTATATGTGTGTTTCTACCCTTAGCTAGCTTAGTAGGCTACTGTCCTTTAGGCCATTTGTTAGAAAATTTAACCCTTCAAGCGATTTCCTACAAACTATCCTGATCATCTGCACTTTTTCTGTGAAAGAACCAACCAAACCTAAGTTTAACACATTAACTTATAGGATGAAATATATGCCTAGTGGGGGTTTCATTGTAGGTGGGCCCACTCTCTCAAATTAAATTTTATACCTACCATAAAATGATATAATATCATTTATATTTAGGCATAGTCATCAGATTTTAATAATTATTAAATTCCCATATTAAACTTAGTTACATTTTAGTTCAGTGAAATGAATTTAAAATTTCAGGCCTATTCCCACTCATTTACAACAAATGAACCACATTAGCGTGAATACTGAATATTAACTAACACAAATATTCAAAATTAATAGGCTTCAGCCTAATTATTTTGATAGTGGCAACATGAATCAAACACTTTAAGTACTACTTAGGCTTAGGGTCCTCAATCTATAACAAAACTCACTTTTCCTTCCAGTTCAGAGGGGAAATGCGTTTGAAAACGGACTGTAGTCCCGTCACTGTAATCCCGTTGGACAAACACTTTCATGCACAGCTGGGTTTGACCTTGCCTCGGAGCGTCATCCAACGGTGTTGTGTGGTTTGGCTGTAAAAAAATTATTTTAATCAAGGTAATCCACCAACAAGTAACTTATGTTGTGGTGTCTTTAACAGCTAAAAATTATTGTTTATTAATTATAAATGTACTTTAAGCAAGGTTTTGTAGCGTAATTTAAGTAGGTAGCGTAAATTGATTTGAATAAATCTTTCAACGGGATTTATAAACTTAAATGCTTAGCCCCAACCTAGTTCAAAAATTGAATTAGGTCCATAACACACTATCAAGTCATCATGACAGAGGTAGGCCTAGCCTACAAAAATATTTTCTTTCTTGGTAGGTAATCACTAAAATAAATAGTTGAATACCCTAGTTGAATTAATTAACATAAAAAAAATGTAAAAAGGTAGAAAACCCTGTAAAGCTTTTATGAAGTGCTTAATCAATTAGACCTAGGCCCCAAGTGAAAAATAGTGATAGACCATGTTAGTATTACCATAGCTTTCCCAGGTTTCATCTGATATTCCTAGATTGCAAAGCAGGATAAACACACACACAAATCTTAATCAACAGTAAATGTCACTGTTTAATCTTTACTTTGTCGTAACATTATTATGAATAGCCAAAAATAAATAAGAGAACCATAAAATGAAAGAAGATTTTTGACAAGATGAATAAGAAAGAAGAATTCACGAGATAAAAAAAGCTGATGTCTGAATCTGATCTGACGAATTACCACCTGATTGATTAACCGGTCTTGGGAGAAAACAGGTAAGCCAACACAACAAAAATGAATCGTTTAAGCAATTGCTTTGTATATGTAATACACTACACCACATGTCTAATTATTTATATCGTTCAACCATTGACTTTTAAATTTTTAATAGTAAAGTAGATGGTAATAAAATTCGTTCACACATTTGAAGTCTGATAAAATCTTATACCTGTTTTGATGTATGATCCTTGGTTTTATGTCTGACTTTAGAGACATAATCAATGGTATAAGCTCGCTGATGGTTTTCTATCTATGGTAGATTTACGATTTGTGTTTTACCATATAAAATGTGTTGGGGGGAGCTTGAATGCTGCAAACCAGTTTGTTTAACTTATTATGTGCTATCAATGTTTGATCTACCAGAGTGTCAGCTATGTTACTTCCTAATAAAACCACCAGATCTATTCAGCTGAGAGCTTCCCTATTGCAAAAACTCGGATGTACAGCGCACCACACTTCAATATTGGGAAGATAAAACCAACTTATAAAGATGAGAATGGCAAATGGCAACACTCTCTATCTATAATGACTCCAGTTTTCTCTTTTGTTTCTCGACTTAAAAATTGCTCGTCGTTTACGTTTTCGTTTTTCGTTTTCGTCAAGCTTTAAAGTTAATGTCACCTGCGATCGTACTCTTCTACTCTCCATGGTTTGGGTCCACCATGTAAATACGGTTAAAGATAGGGGTAATTAATTTTTTCTCCACCTAAATGATCGGAGCAGCTAGACCTTTAAATTGATGTATCACACAACCCATGTTTCCTTTGAAAATTTCTCAAAAAGGCCCTCCCCCCATGTGCGCCAATTGTGGGGAGGGCCTTTTTGAGAAATTTTCAAAGGAAATATGGGTTGTGTGATACATCAATTTAAAGGTCTAGCTGCTCCGATCATTTAGGTGGGGGAAAAATTAATTACCTGTATCTTTAACCGTATTTACATGGTGGGCCCAAACCATGGAGAGTAGAAGAGGGCGCACATGAAAAGAGCCCAAAAACTCAGGCAGACGCTTGAAAAGCGCCCGGACCTCCAATAAGGTCCCTCCCAGGACGGTGCGAAAAGAGCCCGGGTTCTTCTTAGAACTTTCACAACGAGTCTTTAAAGGAGAAAGAACCAATAACACAGCTGAAATACATGAATTTATTTACAATATTAAAAGATACACTGTTAAAAGATGCATTATTAAAATATAGATTATTAAAAGATATTTACATTACTAAAAGATATAGTCTGTTTACCTAAACTAACCTAACCTAACTCAACCAAACAACGCTATTTCAGGACACTAGTCAGCGTCCTCCTCCTCAGGTAGGCCTACCTGTGGAGACCCGGGCTCTTTCCATGCTTAAGATCAGTAAACCTTTTGGGGATTAAAATTTCGGGCTCTTTTCATGTGCTCCGCCCCCAATTAGACCCTTTTTGGAGCTTTTTTCCAAATTAAAAAAAAATATTGGATTCGGCAAGGTTAAATTAGGATGACATGAGAACGTGTTAAAAGCCATACCTTTGTACACGACAGATATGGAAAGTTTTTAACTGAACACTCTGTGTATGAATGAGAAAATGAATATGAAAGAAATGAAACAAGCATTAGCTAAAAAATATCGTTTTATTTTTGTCGTTTGTTATAAAGTCAAACTAATGATAAAAAATTATAAATACGCAACACATTACCCATTTGATCAAGCTTTAAAATGCAAAAACATTACCTCCACCCAGGATTATACATTTTCATATGGAAGTATGTTATCGTCATTGGACACTCCAAACACTCGCACATTTCATTGATGCGTAGAGGTAGAAGGTCAGCGTCAAATCGAGCCAACGCGTGACGTTCAAGCTTGTGCACAATAATTGCCGGAAAAGTGATAAAAATCTTTCCGGACGTAAACATCCGTCTGAAATTGTGAATACTCCATGATCACTTCACTGTCGACGAAAAGAGTTCCATTCACAGACCTTCGGCACTGGATGTTACCATAATCATAATAAATCGAACATACCTATAATCGGATAGACCCCAGACCTTCATAGATTAACCGCTGACTTTGGGATACTGCAAGTAGATTTTTATTCCTATTGCAAGACCTAAATCATTTGTTTATTTAAGCTCCATGCCCAATAATATGCGAGTTTGACGATGTTAAGTAGACTATTTTCCTACAAAAGTTTTAATGTGTGAATTCTTTTTTAGAATCTAGAATGTAGCTAAAAGATTAGAAAATATACATTTTAAATTGAAATGGTTTGCATGTGAAGTAAATTACGGGAAATACATTGTGAACATCAAAACATAATGTATACAATATTTAAGCTCATCTGAATTATTTTCAGCTGATCGATAAGGATTACAAATCTGTTTAGCACCCTAACGTTAACCAATATACGTAAAAAATAACGTATCGTACCAAAATATTATGTCGTAAAAACTATCGTAAAATAGGTAAAAAACACAGCATTAAAAAAATTAATGAAAAGTTCAAAATGAATTTTTAGGGAGATAACAAACGTGTGTTACACCCCACAAATAATTGCAAAGTATTTCGAATTTGATATAATTTACAGGTTTGCAAAGTAGTTCATCTGTTGATCATTTCCCTTGCCACGAATATAAGAGCATATTTCTGTTATAATATCCGTGCTTGCCAAAAAGAACTAGTTTGGTGCATCAAGGAATTTGATGATCCTAAAGCTAAGTTGAACTAAAAGATTTGCAAATTATATTATTCTTTTCAACAGTAGAACATTTGTCTGCACTTTTCCTTCCTATGCTCATTGGAGGTTTTACGTGTTTTACATGTATTTTACAAGAAAATAAATTTACCACATAAAAAATAGAATACAAAAATGTTGAAACATTATTTTGAAAGCCGAATTGGCAAAATTACATATTGATCCCCAAATAACTGTTTTGGCTAATATTTGGTTAAATTTGCGTCGAAGCTCCAGTTAAATTAAAGGTTCCCTTATCTGATCTATTTTTATAACAATAATTTTCTAGTAGCGTAAATAGTGTTTCTTTGTAAGACTAACAAAATAATAATCCTTTCAATTATTAAATTAAATTGAGGTGTATTTTCATTCCATTGCTTTGTTGGTATTTTTGACTGCAGGAATATTCTTAGGAATTTTTGTAGTTGACCTAAAAGAATCAACTCAAAGATAATGTAATCAATCACTCCACTCCAGTTATCGAAACTGAAAACGAACTAACTCTGAAAACGAACGCTCTTGTATGTATCATGTGTTTACTATATATGAACAGCTGTAGTTAATACAAATTATTCGTCTGTTTAAGTAGACAAAATATTTTCTTCGTAAGAAATGGGATTTTGATGGCCTGTGGGACAAAGCCCGGGGACTTTTATTACAGGAATTGGTGAAAGGGGGCGTCTACACAAAAAATACTTTATTGTCTTTATTTTGACACATCGTTTGTAAATATCCGTCCATTATTAACGGAGATGACTAGTGTTTCGTAGAAATCACCTTTACGTATTATATTATAAGGATTCCAGTCCAGTGTAGGGCCAGTGACGTCTTTTGTTTATGTTTATGTTATGATCCATACAGTTTCTGTCCTAATATCCGTGATTAAAACACTGCATTTAACTTCACGCTCGGAAGACTTCAACAAAACACGCTCATGTCCCCCTCCCCCCTAAATATTTTCTATTATGATGTTTTTGTCCTTAGTTAGTTTTTTTGTTTAACTTCTTTATATATCACTTTTATCACTATTTTTTTTCAGACAGAATAATATCATAGACAAAACATAATATGTTTCATGTTTTGAAAGCTCATGGCTTCCTATTTATTGACGGGAGCGTTGCAGTGTAGAGCATTTTGGACAGGTGTTTGTTTGTTTTAACTTCTCTGATGTTTAGAATAAACAATGTTAGCCTAAATATCAGCCAGCTGGGCAGCGACAGTGGTGGACTATGTTTTGACCTATTCTACCGTAATTGCTGGACACTTAACCTCAGTTCTATATTTATAAACTTTTTCTTGCAGAAATGTTAAAGTTTAAACTCCTATGATTACTATGTTGTGATTAAAATCAGGTTTTTAGAATGCATTAGAAGCAGGGTCCTTTAGCTTTAGAGTTATTCCTTTCAAATCATTATATTGATCTTCTTTACACTTTTAATAAATGATTGACTATAAAGAACCAGCTTATCTTAAACAGTTATCATTCCATATATTTAACACTCATTTTTATTTGACAACAACCGCTATAAAAAAATATTACTGAATCAGCAAAATGACACATACTTTCTTCCATTATCTGGGCGAAACCCCTTGTTAATAAGTAAGCGGTGGGAGTAACTATGCTGTTTTATGGGTAAAATCAGAAAAATTGGAATACATTTTGAACCATAAGTTTATGCCATCTTGTTGAGACCTAAACGGACCATTACATTCTAAATGTTAATGAAAACCGTTTGAAAACCCCAAATTTCAAATAAACGAAAAACACTTGGAGATACCGTCGATTAGTACCCACAGACAAAATTCTATCAAAATCAGATTATAAGTGTAGTCTGTAGCTCTGAAGATGTGTGAACATTCAGTTGAATGAATAGTCAATCATGAGATGACTGGACCAGCAATTTTTGGATTAGAGGTCCAGCCCTCTAACTTTGCTACCAGCACATTTAATTTGTTGTGCCATCGTATTCAAATAAAACAGACATAATTTATTCCTTCCAAACAGTGTATAATGGAAATTGTGGTTTAGTACCTTGAAATTATCGCACACACTATTCTAAGTATACAATACACACTGGTCACAATTCGTATTAGTTTTGTTACTGAATGATTAAAAATAATTGAATTTAAAGTTCTTCAATTTCTACCAGTTGGTCTGAAAATGATATTACAGTGGGCCAAATATAGTGTCCCAGAATTCTCTATTGTTCTTTTAAGATACTGTACCAGATTCCTGGGTCGAACACAAACCAAAATGTCCATTTAAAATTGCCAACATTCAATAGCTACTTGTACAACCACCATTTTGTTTGTTTTCCATGAAACTATTTTTGATTTGAGGACAGATGTTTATAGTACTGTAAATTTAAATTTGGTTCATAAATTACTTTTTAAAAAGTAACATTTTTTGTAAAATATTATTTTTATAGGTGTTAAGTTTCAAAATGGCAGTGCCTTAAAATTTTAAAACCTAATTAACACAAATACTAAATCGATAAACACAATTTTAGCAGTATACCTATGTTAATTTGTTTATTTATACCATTTTATAAAAATTCTAACAATACAAATTTTTAAAAGTTGGTTAACATATATTATGATTCTAGATACAGTACCGTATTTAAATTCATAATTATGGCATACCTTAACAATTTATCGTACAAACAGCAAGACTGTATGTAGTTATGGTAAAGTGCGTTTGTTTATTACTATACATCATGCCCGATAAAAATGTAGCTACTACATCATTCATAATTATCGTACTACCTGTAAAATTATCGTATACAAACCCAAAAATTATAGTATACAAACCCATAAATAATTATGGTATACAGTTTACGGTGTGCGGTGTGCAGATCGATGGTTTGCAGGCGCTCCTAGCGGGGCCGGCGCGCACTATGTATCGCTGACGCCGAACGCCGACGCCTGACCACGCACCGAAGCACGCAGCAGCGCGGCAGCAAATTCTTAACAATCCTACCAGTCTGTGTCGCGGTGTATCATAGAACCAACGTTGTGTGGACCCCGGCATACTCACCGCGTATTGGACCTAACACGCCGATGTAAGTAGCTTGGACTTCATTACCTTGTAGGCAAAACATACGGACATACGATAATGCATTTTGTCAGGAAGATTTTGCATTGGCGCAATGAAGTTTTTAGGTTAGGTTGGAAGGGAAACGATTATTCGGTTAATTAGATCGATATTGTTGTTTGACAACTCTGTATTTATGCTGTATGTTATGTTAAAGTATGGGATACAATTTAGGAATAGTAAAGACTCCAATAATTCATCGATAGGTAAAATACAGTGGTGACAATTAATTGGTTTATTTTGTTTTACCGAGTTATAACACAGAAAACATACTACTGTTATATATTATTCGTGGTACTGTAAATATGAAGAGACAGTTTTAAGTTTTTATTTAAATAAATGTAAACAGTAAAATAAATATCATCGACACAACAAAGTTATAATTTTTATCCACGTATTGTTATAGAAAACACTAATTATTTATTTTTAATGTGTTCTGTTTACAAACTATGAAACAAACCAAGATTATTTCAATATACTGAGTATGTTGGGTTGGAGATAAAAACAAATACATACTGATACCTATGCGCAACAAATTTATTACATTACTAATCTACATATTTTATGAGATTTTGTTTACTAATACTCATCAAAACACGACTGATTGTTTTGTTGTTTATTGATTAACTAGCCTTATAATGTGATTTTACACATACTAAATATCGTTTTTAAATTGCTGGATTATTTAAGAACAGTTCTAGATCCTAGAAGGGGCTTAGGACTAGCCCAATCTGTTCACACTTCGTTAATTAACATTAAAAAACTTTACTGCACGATGGATATCAGCATAGCGGTTTCCCTATGATAAAAAATCGAGCAGCTAAAACAACTTATTGGAACAGAATCCTCGAATTCGAACAACATTTAAATTAAAATCGCACACGTTGTGAAGCCACACATTTTCCAGCTAGCGTAACACGAAATCAGAATTGGTAGGGTTGCTTTACATTAGGGTGGAGTAGACAGTCCCCCTCTACCCCAGTTTCCAACAGGACTAGTGTTTTACGGTGAGCTTAGCAATAATGTAGTAGATAACCAGAGGATGATAAGCACGTTATAAAATGGATAACTCATTTACTGTACGCGCGATAGACATGATGATTATTGCCGTGTTTTGCTTGATTGTGTTTGTTTAACCTGGTTTCACGTTGTTTAACTGTTATATGCGATGTGTAAAGGGGGTTTAGGAATGATTGTCTTACTGTTCAAATTATTATATTATACGTCAAGTGCAGCATATAAGTTATTTCATGATTTGGCGTTTTGACTTTTGTTAAATTAATTAAAATCCATAAAGGGCCCCCATCCATCTTTGTGTTCAAAGATGAATGGGGGCCCTTTATGGATTTTAATTGTCTCTGAGAATAACATGGAACAGTAATTGTATACGTTTATCTAATTTGTAAGGTTGGAATATCTCCTTTGAGGGGGTTTCGGTGTGAACGAAACAAATATTTTGACTGACAAATTGTGTTTTACAGCCCCTTATGTAACTATATAGGCTACTACCCAAGAATTTACAACGATTTAAATTTCAAAAGTTAGTGGTTGTATACATCGAACTATTTTGTATTTTCATTTTAATTATGTGTAGGAAAGTCCGCTGATTTTCTCCGGGAAAAACTAAATTTTCAAATAAATTAGATTTACATAGCTCAATGCCTCCCAAATAAATCGCTGTAGTTTATACCAAAGTAGGCAACGTATTAACACAGACAATGAAGTATTATATTGTCTGTGGTATTAACGTACACAAACAAAAAGAAATGGGAAATGCCTTTTTGACCTTTGATATACCCGGGTCCCGGGTCTGATGAAGATACCGGTTTGCTCATGTGGGAAAATTTCCTGCGGCGCTCTAGGTTTTAATATTTGAACATTTTTACATTTGAATTAGTAGTTGTTTGAATGTGTAGCTGTTGTATGCACTTAGCAATTCCATTTGGAAACGAAGACATCGAAGTTTCCAGTATGAGGATTATTTGTCCTAGCATGCTCTAGCCCGGGATTGTTTTTCACATTACTTCTAGCTATGCTTAGGATTTGCTGCATTATCATTTCGATAAATACATTGGCGATTGGCAGGATTTAAACCCGGAACCTCAGGAACCGAAGTCCCGCGCTCTACATCTAGATCAGCTCGCTCCCCGTTATTGGGGGATTAAAATCTATGGAATTAACACTATCCATGAGAAGTATAGTCATTCGGATAATTTACGCCCAGGGTTTACCAATCGAAGGCGGTTCGGATAGTCATTCGGATAGTACACTTTACGATCCAGAGTCCCGTTCTACATTGTCTGTGGTCGAGGCATGGTCGTAACATTATCTTGCTCGTAATTCTTGCAGAGCATTAAGAAAGGTCCGGGACTTTCGACACAAGTTTATGGATAATTGCCTACAGCCTTGGAGGGCGTTACCTTTCATAACCCAATTTTCTCGCTCTTTACACATCGTTGAAGCTCTGTCTTTCAAACCCATTAGCCGGAATTTTGCAGCACTCGACACCTAGTGAAAGATGACAACATTTCGGACGGTGGTCGGATAAAAAGTGGTCCCTGAACACTGGACGATTTTTTAGTTTATGGTAGTTGCACTGTTTTGGTTCGTTCTAGAATCTCTGAAAGCTAAAAACAAAGTTCGAAGGAATTCGTATTTATTTGTGTTTCTGCTCTATAAGCTATGGCTCTAATAGAAATATCCGATATTCGATATTCATTACTTGAAACCAGTATTCGTGCTTGAACCATATATAGGCTACGTATTTTAATAGGTTCATTAACCAGCCCGATCCAAAAATGAACTGGATCAATGGACTCAAAAACCCGTTTTTCGTTTTTTTTTAACATAACAGTTGCAATTTTTACAATTCAAGTTAGTGTACATAGAACAGTTAATACATAGAAAGTTAATTTATTTCTGCCATGCCTATTAGAAAGTGAGATGGTATTGAAATTGCTAAAGTACGTTGCCTCCAATTGTATCATTAGGATAGTAAATAATTCATTCTATACTGCTTGTATCTGGACATAGGTTAATGGAATTTGGCAAATTGCTCTTCCTTGTTTCATGGCAGGGTTTTAAAAGTTTATCATTTTAATCAATCAGTATCTGTACCTAGTGACAGCAAACCTAAGTAATTATTATATTAATTGGGCTAATATCTACGTATGAATTCCTTTCAATATTCCCACTGTTTTAAAATGTTATCAATAGTGTTGGTCAGATATACTAAAGATTTCCAGGTATTATGTGCTCAATTTCAAATTCGTCAGTAAAACTAATTATTGAAACAAGCTCCAAAGTAAACATAATATGTTTAATAAACATTCAACAATGATACAAGATTCATTCAGTCCCAGCTGTTTTCGGCTAAAGCTTAATCACCCTTAACCTAAATGGATAAGATAAGTGTAAGTTATGACTTAATTATACTATTTTCGTCCTACAGTATTCTAAATTTGATGAAGAAAGTGTTCATTTCGAATGATTTACTTGACTTATTGTTAATGTCTGCATTTATTATATTAGATTTTGATTTTGACAATGGCGGATACAAGCTGAAACATGTAAACATGGGACTAATTTGAGCGTTATATCGGATAAATAAGGTATGTAAACTGAACTGAAGCAGGATTGTAAAAGTAATTTAAATCTAAGTTGATATCTATCAACCTATCTAAGTTATCACAATCAAAATTAATAATTAAAATCGAAGTTGAACGCAGCTAGTAGTTTGGTGGAATAGAATTTGGGCTCATGCACCAATGGTTCTTCAGTTGTCTGCATTCTTCAGTTGTCTCCAAATTTGGATGGTTGCCGCTCACATATTGTGATGTGGAAACTTAAATTTTAGTGTTTGAACAAATAAAAATATCCAAAAACACTTAAATATGTACTCTGAATGAATGGATGGTTCATTCCACATAAAATTGTAACATAACACCATTTCTTACACATTTATGACATTTAACATAAATAAAGTAACATAGAACATGATAAAAGAGCAAGTGTACACAAAGTTTTTAACAATGCTGACACAGACTAACTCGAATGAAACTTTATAAATTTTAAATCGCGGTTTGCGAAATATTCAGCCATTTACAAAACTTTGCATGTGCGTCTGCTGAGTTGCTTTATTTTTTATTTACAATTGCTTAGGTCATCATCATCATCATCCTTTTTATTGATTTTCCCTCAAGGGGTACATCAAAAAAATACATTTACAAAATACAATTACATGCAAAATAACCAATGTTGGTAAATGTAAACGAAAGTGGTAGCCTATATTTGACACCCAGATATGGTCCAAATAGGGACACACAGTACCTGGCCATGTTTTTTTTCGGAGCAGTGTTTCGTCGGAACATGACTCCGAAGAACCAACCCTGCACATTCTTATGGAGCAGTAGAGGCACATTCTTTTCGAATTATGTAAAGATAGTCGGGGTAATGCCTTTTGGAGCAATTCCTTGAGCTGGTATAGTGATATTTTTTCTTCTACGATCTCCCTTTTTTCTAGCGACACAATTTAGTTTTACCAATTACTAGATTGTCTGCTTCAAAATCCAGAGTCTTGTGGGATCTTCAGTCAGTTTCCTGGCGCAGGACCGTGGAGTATCCCAGTGGGCCTTGACTGAAGACTGAAGGCCATAGTGATAAACTGGTTCCCACTGTTATGACCGTTGTCATAGTGATGTACCGCTATACTGCGCAGCTTCCTCAATAAACTTCTACGGAGATGAAGTACCTGAGTTAATCAAAGTAATACTTACGAATCATATAATACTGGACAGCCTACTATTCTGATCTGGGTTTCAGAATGTAACGGATGACTTAAAATAGCTTAGCATCAACCTATAGTATTGTTTGAATCCAATGTTCTTCAGAGTTAGTTCCAAAAGTAGACTTCTCGCCCAAATTCAAAAGTGTGATAGTGCACTGATGCCGACTTAACAGTTATAACAT